CAGAGTTGTCGTTTTGGATGTTTCAAAATGAAGTTTAAAATTAAAATAATCATTTTTTTGGTTGATTGGACATTTAATATTTTAATTTTTCGAATCTTCCTTGCGATCTTTTGCATATATTAAATCATAAAAATGTATGGCACTGTGAAATTTTACCTTTTGGTCGGAAGCTATGACAAAGTGTCTACAATGTTAACCCTGTCGCGGAAAAAATCTTTCCTTGGGTTTTAATTTTTGCCCGTTTGTTTTGTAAACTTGGTTTTGTTTTTGCCATTATTGTCTCGCCCCGATTCTCCGCAACACAGCGTTTGCATAGTTAGTCCACAATCTTAGTAGGCATATTATCTCATCGTTTTCCAAAATGTGCATTAAACCATGCACAACTGCACTGCAATTGTTTCGTTTAGTCTCGTCTCAGCTCCTCCATTCTTGGCTCCGTTGGCTCGTCATTACGTAAATTGTATTATAACACTATGGGACGAAATTTGGGTCATTCAATCTTTCCCAGAGAGAATACAGTTGAAAAAAAAAAAGAATAAATGATTTTAGTGATTCAAAACAAAAGAGAAAATAAAAATAAATAAAATATAAATTAAAACAAGCAAGTAAAGGCTACAATCGTGCTGGACCGACCATGTGATACCCTACAACACTACAATATGTTAGAAGGCCCCTTATGACCAAATCCATTCTGGAAGATTTTGCTTTTGAAAATATGTCACGGAACACTGTCCAGTATTATCTTTAGCTTTTTGACCAGGGACATTTGCCCAATATTTACGCACTCTGTCGTGCTGTTAGTTGTTGTGGTCCATTCTACAGCTAAATGTAATCCAATGGTCATCCAAAATGCTAGACTTCTTCCCTGTTCTTAACTCTCTTCTCATGTAAAATTCCGTGTCGATTGGTTTCAATTGTGTGATAGGAAACATTTTCTGTTTTTGGTTCATTTGAACTCCTAAATATTTTACGATCACCTCTAAAAGCAAGAGGCCCCTCTGTATCTCTAAATTTTGACTCATCCATATGATTTGCTTGTCTGCGATATTTGGCTGTATTCGTCAACGAAATCAGCATAAAAAACCAGAAGTTCGCCTTTTGTGTATTTTCCATTGTCCATTCTACCCGCTGTCATAAACTCTAACTACACGCGAGATTTCGAGTCCTGCAAATCAGGAACATTTTTAGTAGTTGGTCCATATATACACCCAAATATATTCTGAGCCTAACGCTACCCTTCTAAAAAAATTTCGTGAGGATCGGACGATAATTGCAATCTTTATACAATAACCCCAACCTGTGTTGTGAGGAGAAAAAATATTGTAAAATGTATACTTCAATATTCTAAGTCAAATTGAAAAAATCGCATGCAATAAAAAATATGAAATAAATAAAAAAGTCACAAAATACCACAACATCTATATCAACATCATTATTGACATATTTTTAAGCGATTTTTTAATATTTTATTCTTTTATGCCAAGAGGGCTTTCTGAATTGTCAAAATTTGTCCAATCATTCTTGTGATACAAGCATTCTAGCTAACATCCCTTTCCTTAGTATATACACATTGTATATTTTTCGCTATATATATCCGATATATTTACTATCGGCATCTACGTAACGATCTGAATTAACCTTTTTGTTTATTTCTGAAAATTTGACTTTTATTTAACACAAATGTTATGGTCTATTTAACCCACTAAATATTACTCGATGACCATCCTAATTTGAAGGCTTCTGCCCAGCCCTAAGCCCTAGCCCCATGCTAACTTCCGCGTCGATTGGTCTATAATTGCAACCTGTAAAACAACTGGTACATTTAACCCCTAAATATTGTGCGATCATCTCCAAAAGCAATAGGCTTTTATTCTGACCATAACCCCATTCTGACCATAACATCAATTTACAGTAAATGTAAAACGGATCAGAAAACCACAGTCATAGTGCTGGTGTGTGGAAATTTGTTCGGAATCGAAATTAAGGATGTTCTCTCTTCATCAAAAAGAGAAGAAGAACATTTTATGTTGATGAAATTGCATATTTATTTACTTTAATGTATATAACCTGACATTGTTTATGCTTGTTGCATGCTATTGCATTATTAAACCATCTTTTAATTGATAGCAAACCTGACTTTGATTCTTGATTAGCATTGCTGCGACCCTATGAATTCCACAAGCTATCATAAGAGCTTTCCATTGATCCCATATTGTTGTGAAATAAAATGAAATTAATAATATGTACATTGGATTATTTCCATCAGCCGATGATATTTCCGACAAAGAAAATGTTGCACGCCATTTGATTGATATATGAAAAGGAAATGTCACATTACGGCATTAAGAGAAGCAATAGCTCCGTTTTGCGACATCCTATTGAACATCTGACCCGACCAGTATTTTTTTCTTTTCCTTGCTTTTGCATGCAGATACAGTGCTAATTCTTGTGGAGCAAAGGAAACTAATAATCAATTCAATTAGTTTTAAATGCTTTCACGGAATTGTATATTTGTCCATGTTGTAGTCATCAATGAAAATGTGAAATTTCATTTGGAGGAAATCGGCAGTGGCGTAGCACTCAACAGTCCAGGCTGAGTGACTTCACCACGCAGTGTGCACCTCTCTAGCCATAAATCGAAATACTTTTACTGTCTTCGCTAAACACCCAATCGACATCCTCTTCGTCGTATGCTCTACCTGCCAACAATTTCCATTTTCTCTGGTGCAACTAAAAAATAAAAAACTAACAAATAATTAAAGTCACATTTCACTTTCTACAGCCGTTGTGCGGCAAAGTAAATGTTGATGACAATTTAATTACAGCATTGCTGAACGGCAACGAAAAAGTGTAGCAATCGGCAGAAAATGCAAGCAAGCAAAAAATTATCAGCTATGGCGCCACAAATACTGCCACACGAGTGAGTTGCTCTCGCTATCGTCGTCGTTGGATTTAGTCACCCACTGACTTAAATGGAGAGATTAGACCTAGTCCCGAAATGGAGAGGTTTGCTTTTTTTTGTATACTTAATCCATGTGGTGTGAGTGGGGCATGGGCGGCCTCGTGATATAAGCTAAAAAGCAAATTGTTTATTTATTATTATTATAATGTATTTATTTCCATGGTTCAAAACAACTCAGAAGGGATACATTTTGTACGAGTACGAATATCCTTACATAGTGAGTTTTCTCTGTATCTATTAATTTTACATTACGCCAAGGGAAACAAGGATATTTGAAACTTACAACTAATATGTGATAGAGAACGTCGGCCGAATTGCCAGCAAATAAATATATCTTAAATTTTAGTTATTTAGCTTTTCTTGCAATGAGCTAAACTTGGAACTCGAAGTTTAACAAAAACATTAGGGAGGAGGAAGAGGGAATAGATTATGTGATAAGATATTGAGTAGATTCGATCGAAATCATTTAAATTGGCATGGCCTCCATACCATAGTATAGAGGGTATATTAAGTTTGTCTGTGGAAATCACTCTGACTTCCGAACAAAACTAGATTGATAAAATTTTACTCAAATGTATATGTCGTCGTATTGGCCCTAATATAACAGCTACATTCGGTATTTTTAAGATTTTAACAGAATTTTTAACGGATTTTATTTTTTTTTTTTGAGAATTTCTAAATTCGTTACAAATGGTGGAGGGTATTCAAAGTTCCGAACAGGCCGAATTTAGAGCTTTTTAATTTGTTTAAATTATGTATTGTAAATTTTGGAAGAAAACCATGTTTTTGACAGTTCCATATCAATCAATCAATCAATAACCCATCTGCAACATTTACGAATTAATCTTATCCTATCATTCTCTTCTTTGAGATCGAGTGTTAGAATCGGCCCTCAGACTTGTCTCTATGACACTCTCTTCTCTACAAAAAGAAAAAAGAGTGGCGGAGGGGGAGATCGTGTATAGAAAAAATACACGTACTCGGAATTACAGCAACGGTATGACAAAAACTAAAAAATGCTCGACAAAAGTAGAATCTGCTCGATTTCGAGCGAATTTTTTCCTACTCAAAAACGAGGAAAACTTGATCACTCCTATTCGAGCGACATCGAAAAAATGAGTTTGATTTATTTCTGCGCTACCGCTCAAGTTCGAATGAGTTTCACACTATGTACAAATTTGAGGGAGTTTGTCCATTCTCTGCCGAAATAATGTTTTGAAATTCATTTTGTCAAAACTGTTTGAACCTTCTTATTCTTCGAACATTTTCTACAAATTTGAAATAAATTAGGTCTCTTTTCAAATTGACTGTTGTAGGACAATGCTTACAACCCATCTCTTTCACTACCATTTTTTTTTGTTGCATGGCCGCAAAATGATATGATACTCCTTTTAATATACACATTTCCCAAAAACTAAATGTGTTTAAAAGCCTGTCAACAACTGCATATTTGAGTTGCACTCACAAAATTGCGTGACTACTGGCATGGGAATTCATTTGTGGATCGAGCGCACGATAGGTCAGTTGTCCATTTTCGAAACGCACATGACTGCGGAAAGTATGTTCTGCCGGCAGTTGAAAATAATGGATCGAAATAAAATTGTATTTTTACAATGTTTAAGAATTTTTACAACATTGGTACCATACACATTGAATATTATATATTGAGTTACGCTTGTTTGTGTTGAAATAATCTTAAAGAACAAAGTATACAACGTTAAACAATCTGAATCCTTAGAGTGCATAAAAGTGTTTTTTCCAAGAGTATGAATTTTAAAACATAGCTGTTTTCCAAATCATTTTGAGGAAATATATTCCATTCGCTGATAACGAACACGGCGCCAAATTTTGAACCACATTTTAAAGGGTTAAAATAAGCTAAAAAAAATTACCACATCATTTATGTGCGTCTTTAGTCTGCTTATGACTGTGCCGTCGAATTGCTTGCATCATATTTACTAGCTACTACTATCAACTGAAGTCAGCAACTAATTGCAATAATTGTATTTTCCTCGTTTTCTGTTTCTCTCTTTCGTAGGTTGGAGCTGTGGTGAGACGCTTTTTGCCCAAAAAAACCAAAAAAAAAATGTGCATGCAACCAACCGACATAATGATTTCCAGAGAAGTATTTTAAGTAGGGTTTTTTTCGCCCCCGAAAATAAACCCTAAAGCTCTTCCAGAGAACACAACAACACAAAAAACCAAAACGGCAACGTGCATTTTGTGCCACCATAAATGGTAACACAACGACTGACAATGTCTGCCGTCACCAACACACATAAAATTAATGGAAATTTGATTGTGAGTGCAAACGCAAATGCTGCAGTAGCAACAACAACGACCACGGCATCATCATCGTCATCCAGCAAAACGTTTTTGCATACTAACCCCCACCCATCGAGTCATCAGCACCACCAACACCACGCCACCAATCAACTACAACCTTCTCCCAATAGCCTCCAGCAACAGCATCAGTCGCAGCACAGCACAAATTTGAAGTCATCATCATCGGCCATCGGTTTAAGCAAATTGCAGGCACCGCAACAACATCAAAGGCGTTCCTTTATTCCCTCAGCAACGTTGCAGCAGCAGCAACAACAACAACACCAACATATAACGGTTGCAACGTCTGGTACGGTCACCCAACCACCCCAAGCGAATCAATTACAAACAGTAGCGACAATACATCAGCCATCCACACCAGGCCAACAACTGCATACCGTCCAATCGGCGTCATCGTCGTTAGGGGCCGTGGGTACCACACAAACCCAAACGATTTCAACGACGGCGGCGGGCACAACAACAGCTCTGAGTGGCGCCAACACCGACCAATTGACGAATCCTTCGAACAGAAGAAGTTTTTATCATTTGCAATCTCTGAAATCGGCAACAAATCTAAAGGCTCCAGCCCACTCCATACCGCCGCGCTATCAACCACCGCCACAGCCATCCAACACCAACAACAGTAACTGCCAGCAGCAACAACCACAACACACGACTGGCATTCTGAAGAATTTGCATTCGCAACGATTAACAAACGGCACCAAGAGCAGTACGGGCACCTCCAACGGTTATACATCATACTTTCCGGAGACTCAGAGCAACGGTCATTTGGGCAACCTAAAATATCCCCCGGATATACCACAACTCTCCAGCGTCTTCATACCCGACTCCTTGAAGAACGCCTCCGCCAGCAACTCGCGTTACTTGCAACAGAAACACCAACAACAAACTAATCAATCACAACTGCAACAGCGATTGCGGAGTGTTAATCAAACAACAACGAACGGCACCACAACCAACAACAGCAACAACAACCCGAACAACCTGCTAAACGGCCATCAATCGGCATTGACGGAGCAACAGCAGCTACAACAGCAACAACAGGATATGTTAAAATTTGTACGCAAATCCGATCAAGATCATCCTTCACCAAATGCCTCGGTCACGTCCAGTGGTACAGGTGGCATACCGTCGACGGCTGGCCGCCTGACTGCCGAGCAGAATCGCCAGCTACAGTCGCTGATCAATGAATTGCGCGCCCTAAAAGAGCAAAATCAACGGCTCATGGATGACAATCAGGAACTCCGAGATTTGTGTTGTTTTCTGGACGATGACCGGCAGAAGGGTCGAAAACTAGCTCGCGAATGGCAGCGTTTTGGTCGTTATACAGCGAGTGTAATGCGACAAGAGGTGGCAGCATATCAGGTGGGTATTTTTTTTTTTTTTTTTTTGAAATAAACAACGATTTCAGTTGTATCCAGGGCATACATTATTTGTAAAAGGTCTTAAAAGCATAGATCTACATATGTAATTTTATTGAATGAATTTTCTCAGCTTTAAAAACTGCTAACGGAGCCGATTTGGAAAATTGATCATCAAAAAAATTGAACAAATGAATGAATGTTAGCAAATTTTATTTTATAGGATTTTAAATTAGGATCTTTGTTTAGAGGACTATCCATTTGAAACTAGATCAAAATCTGAGAAGCTTATTCGTATCATTACGATTACGCCGATCTAGTACCGTTTTCCCAGACAGATTTTTGAGAGCAAGACGGATTAGTACACCCATTCGAATGTCAAATATATCCAGCCAACTATTTGGTTCCAAAGAAGTAATTTTATCTTGAGACCAAGCGATTTTGGACTACATCATTTTGGGTGAAAGAAACGGGAGGGTGAGATACAAAGTTGTTGTTAAAGTTGTTAGGCTCCTCCAAAGCAGTTGAAGAAGAAGTTAAACTATTTTCAAAAATTTGTTAAACTATAGAAAAGGGATTCCCTTGAAGTTCATTTTCCGACAGTTAGCTAATAAAAACAGAAGGTTGAAATTATAGAATCTTGGGCCGCTGTTGTCGCTCTAAATAAAGCATTTATGCCTTTTGCTAAAACAACTGATTGATAACTTGATATTTTTCCTCTGTTCCATTTCAGAATAAACTACGTCAGCTGGATGATAAACAACAAGAACTCATCACCGATAATTTGGAACTGAAAGAACTCTGCCTTTATTTGGACGAAGAGAGGGCTCACATTGCGGCCAATTCGTTGTGTGTGAACTGTGGTGCCTCTACTCGCAACACGTTGAGAGACGACGGCGACGGTTCAAGTTCAAGTACAAATGCCGATGAAAACATAACTGCTTTGAGAAACTACGAGAGGCAATTACCGGTAAATACAAAACTAGAATAGAATATAGTCCATGTACCATAAATGCCATAGGAAAGAAATTCGCTAACAATTATTGTTTGTTGTTGTTTTTGTTCTCTTTTTTTTGTTTTTGTATTTTCTAACAGGATCTGCATTTACGTTCAACACTGCAAGACCAAACACTCCAGTACGTGCGATCTTTGGAACGACGCATACAGCAATTGGAGGAGGAACGTTTGACCAACACTACGAACGCGGCAACAACAGCCAACATGGCAAGCCAACAACAGCAGCAACAACATCGACCATCACAACAGCATACGACGCAGCAGCAACAACAGCATCAGCAGCAACTGCATCAGCCAACAAATGTCACAACAACAGCAGTAACAAATCACCAAAACCAAAAACTAACAACACAAACATCGACATCGTCGTCGCCATCTGCATTAAATGATGGCTTAGTTGATCCCATATCTGGTCGGCCAGAAGCTGTTGTACGAGCTCTACAAGTTTTAGAAGTCAGAGAACAACTAGAACGCGATAGATTGGGCCATCTAACCGGCAATGCCATCGATCAAATGGATGACGGTGAAAAGGCTTTGGTACGCGAGATGTGTAATGTTGTTTGGCGCAAACTGGAAGCCAGTCCAAATGGTCCGACGACACTGGAGCCACTATAGAAGCTTGTAACTTCAATCAAACACACATCGATGGACACACGCCGTTGCATTTCCACCACCACACCTCTTCTGTTGTAAATTTAAGCAAACTTTTTCCAACTAAACCCAAGCTGCCAGAAACCTGCCACCAGACTTTCCCAAAACAAAAACAAATCAAAATCTCGCCAATACTTATTTTGGCTGAACGACGACGAACATCTTTGTTTAGAAAGTTCTGCAACTGAATAGTTGGGCATTGGTTTCATCTTTGTAAAATATCAGAATATGAGAAGATTTTCATTGTAGCCCCTTAAAACTTTACTTCTGAACCCCATCCACTAATCATTGCGCCCAAAGGCCCGCTAGCAAGGCTCATTATTGGTCTTTTATTTAAGCTTTAATATTTTTGCGATATTTTTTAAGTTGTCCATAAAAATTACGATACTATCGTAAGTTATCCCATTAAGGCAAAACCCCTGAGCAAATAATCGGTTATATATTCTTGTCAATATATAATTGTGATTATCGATGTGCACTACATTGCTTATTGCAGTGTAGGGTACACTGTATATTTTTAATAGATTTTCTTTAGAATTTCCCCCATTGGAATTCTTTTGAAATTCGCATTTTTTCTATTCCTTTTTTTATTACTTCGCTGTAATTTTTTTCATTATTAATTTATTATTAACTGAACCTAGCTATAGATATGTAAGTTTAACTACATAAATAACCCACTTCCAAAAAATCGAAATAAAATATAAACAAACATACATACATACCTACAAACACATATGTATTCAAAATATAACATCAATGGTGTTTTTGTACTTAAAATATAAATCGCATAGGGGCGGCGGAGAGCAAAGAGGTAGGTATGCTTACCGATTTGATGGCCCGCTGAAGTTGTCGAAAAAAAGGATAACCAGATAGGAATTAAAGTAAACTAAAAAGAGTAGGAAATATCCAGAGTCTGCAACAAATTTAAGCTATTTTTTATAATTGGTTAGAATTTCAAAAATGCATATGATTTTGAATAATTTATTTTATCTTATATTTATTTTATATCATAGAGGAAGAACGGAAAATATTATGTTATTCAGTACTGACTTAAGGTCTGTTTCTGTATGACGATAAGAATAAACGCGAAGAATAATCTAAATGAGTTTTCTAAATTTTTAAGTCAACTCCAAAAAAATCAAAAATTTTAAATGATTGAATTTCATAGAAAATAGGTTTCATCTCTGGTTTGTGTAAGTATGGCTTTTCTTTGTCAATTTAGAAAGGTATTTTTTAAATAAAATTATGATTGCACGAGATTATCTCTCAATAATTCTATCCATGATACGGTTAAGAGGTATGGTGATGAAACGGCTGAATACAATTTTTCTGAGTGTGGGGGAGAATTTGGGAGAATTTTCCAGAAAAAAAGTTTTTCATTATGGAATTCAAGCGTTATAGTGTGATTTCTTTACATTTGGTTGGAAAACCACAAGTGACTATCGTTAGAGCACTCCAGCATTACCACGCTTCAATTCCAGCGCACAATGGCCACCAATATCTCCGAATACCAATCCGTTGAACTATTGTGTCTGGAGTATTTTAGAAAGGAAGGTTGTCATTCAAAACTTTAAATATAGGATCGTTACGATAGGTCATTAACTGAGCTTTGTTTGCTAGACAAAAATGCCTCTTTATCTCCTTGATCCAAACTATAGAGTTTTTGAGACATGCAAACCTCGGATATTTATAAAAGACATCATTTAAAGATTCAATGAAAATTAAACTGGTAATTTTCTACTTTTTCTGTGTCATCCTGACCGCAACATGAGAGCAAAAACAAAATCAAAACCAACATTGTACGGTTATGTGAGATTCATACAATGTCGTCTTATTAAATGCTCTGTATATTCAGCGTCAGATATTTTTAAGTGATTTCATTGTACATTATTCTACCAGTTCCAGCAACAACAACAACTTCTTTCCAAAGCAAAGTAAAAAACTTTCTTCTTTTGATGTTCTTGTTACTGCAATAAGTGGCAGTTTTTGCTGCCGCCGTTGCTAGCCGATTCGTCTTGTAGCGGTTGCTGTTTAACCTGATTTTTTCTTCCAACAACTACATCTGAGACTTACAACAACATCATCACATGGCAATGACAAAACTTATGCCTGCAACAATTTCATAGCGACGAGGAGCGATCTCATAGATGTGGTCACGATATAAATGAAAATCTTAGAGTCTCGAAAATAGCTATTTTCAGGGTTAACTTATAGGAGTTATACACCTGACCGTTTATATGTCTCTTTGTTTGGATTAAATATAAAGTCACACACTTTGAAAAAAAAAAATTAGAAACCTGTTCCAGAACTCCAAATTCGCAAAACTACTAGATTCTTTTCAGGTTCCGGAACAGACCACATGATAACTCATGTACTAACAAATCCTATGTACAACCTTCTTTAGTGCAGTATGTTAAGGCCGTTTTGTCAAAGAGCTAATTAAGATATAAACTTAGTATTTCGAAAATAGCAATTACATTTATTTAAATAAATTAAATTTAAATAGATTTGTCCATCACAAATTGATGAGTTGACTTAAAAAAATGAACTTTTCGTTGTTAAATTTCTTTCAAAAATTAGTTGCACTATTACCATTTTTATTTTTAAATACAGTTCAAATTTGAAAAATGTAATTAGAATTTTCACACTATTTTGATAAATTAGGACTTAATTTCCATATCGCTACCTCTCCCATTTCCATTCCAAACCGCTTCCATCCTCTTAAGAGAATAAATGTGAGCCACAAGAAAATTAAAAAAATACTTCAACAAAGAAGAAGACCAATATATTTATAACAAAGACAAACCGAGAAGGAAAGATGTTGTTCTGCGACCCCACGACAATCATATCATTACAGCTTAAATGAAAAAAGAAACGAAAAACTGGAATTTTCCAAACAATTTACAAAAAATGCATCAGCGTTGACCATGATGTGCTCCAGAAACTATGAACAACATACAAATGCAGAATCGGTAGACTTTGCAACAATGTTTAACGCGAGCGCATACATATGTACACATGCATGTATTTGTGGTGTGGGAATATCCGTTGCAGCATCATTGGTGCTTAAAGCGGAATTTAAGCAATTTTTTCCAAAGCAACCAAAAGAAATTTACAAGAAACAATCAATGAAAGTGAATTTTTTTTCTTCTTTGAAGATTCTCACAAATCTCTGTTATTTTTGTTATGAATGAAACGCAAAACTGTCAGAGATAATGTCTCTTGCTGGTTACTCGCTAACAATGGAGAGAAAAAACGACAAACAAATCTCCTGCTCGAAAAAATAATTACGTGGATCGCGATTAATGTTCGTATACACATAATTAATGAAGACGAAACGAGAAGACCAAGCTGAGATACTTTTCCGTCTGAGAGATCATCTTTGAAGTTCAACAAGCAAGTTGTGGGCTATGAACGGGTGTGTCATAATTAGCTAATGTTTGTTTCTACGGAAGTTGGGAGCATACTGCACTGCACATAAACAGGAATGTACAACGGCATGACATGGGAAAATGCATTCAAATTGTGAGATAATTTCCATTATTGTTTTCATTTTTATGAAAGTAAAATTGTCTTCATTATTTATAAACAAATAATAAGGTTTTCCCCTTTCAGAATTATGTGAAAGGAATTAACATAACGGTTTTAAATATAATTGGCATTATATAGTGAAACACAATGGAAATTAAATAAAAAAAAAAAATTATAATTGACATGTAACTTCCTTAGAGCCTTAGTTAAACAATTGTGGGTGTCAGTCAAAGATAAAAAAACGATCTGAGTAAAAATGTTTAATAATTTTAATTAAGTCACTGTAATAAGCATCAAATTTTTTAAATATTTTCGTTCAGAAAAAATCCCTACTCATTTGACAAAAAAAAATATTTTTAACAATATTATTTGACGGTGAGTATTTTTCAACTTTCTCAATTAAAAAAAACAAGTAAAAAAGCAGTAATTTCGGCCGGGAAGAACTTTGAATACCCTCCACCATTTGCAACCAATTAGGAAATTTTCAAAAAAATTAAATCCATTAAAAATTCTATTATCTTAAAAATACCGAATATTGGAAGGTGCCGATATATTGGGGATGTATGATATTGTGGACCTATATAGCAAAATACCGAATATCGGGGGAACTGTTATATGGGGACTATACGATATCGGGGTTAAAGTACTCACAAAGAACTCCTTGTGTAGAATTTCAGAGAATTCCATTGAAAAATGTGTCTAAAATCATTGAAATATCGGGCGTACCGTTATATGGGAGCTATACGATATCGTGGACCGATACAGCCTATCTTCGAACTGGACCTGCCTGAAAACAAAAGACAGATCTGTGCAAAATTTTAGCTTCTTATCTTTATTTGTTTTGACTGTAGCGTGATTAAAACAGACGGACGGACGGACAGGACTAAATCGTCTTAGAATCAAGAGTATATATACTTTGTTGGGTCTAAAATTATTATTTCGATGAGTTACAAACGGAATGACGAAGTTAATATACCCTCCATACTATGTATGGTGGAGTGTATAAAAAATATTGGTCTTAACCTGGCTCTAAAACAATTCTGAAAGTGTATATTTCCTTAAAATTAAGATTTTTGCTAAGAATAATAAAAACAATAATTCTATAATTTCTTTTGGCTTAGAAGAAAATAAATACTTGCCTCTGTGAGGCTACAATTGTTTATCTACATACTTCAAGCATCACAACCAAACAATTTGAATAAAGAAACGCTTAGTTGACAAACTTCCTTTGTTGCTAGAGAAATATTTGAGAGGCAAACTTTCATTGATAATAACAAAAGACTTAAGACACATACACAATTTATTCTATACCGACTAAAAGTGACCAACTTGTTTTCTCCACAATAACTACAACAACAACCACAAAACAATCATTTCTTCAATTTCCATATTTACAAATAATAGAAATAAACCCAGTATATGTTACACTAAGAAAATGAATGTATGACTGTATGTGTGTTTGGCCAAAATCAAGTGAATACTTGTAATGTCAATACTGCAAAAGTCTAACGCATTTCAGCTCTCTCTCTCGTTGTGTCTATTTCAAGGCTGATAATGGGCATTTAGCCAGCATTTGTTTGGCTGACCAGCATCTCTTGGCTCTGTGGTCCATGGAAGTGTGCAGGCAGAATATTGCACAGCAATGGATTATTTTCAAATTGACGGTGAAAAGGAAAGCACAAGCACGCATTGAGTGAAAACGATTATTTGTTTTTTGTTTCTTTGTTGTTAATAATTTTTACAAAAGAACGTTTAAAAAACCATTAGAGATTCGCAACTCAGTATTCAAAACATTTTATAGTCCATTAGAAGAATAACTGTTGTCGATTTTGTGAAACGAAAACGAGAGTCATAGATAACAACTCAAGGAAAAGAAGAAGAACAATACGAACCAAGAAATCGTAGTAAATTACTAAATTCAAATTCAAAACCGATGGAACTCGCTTTGAAAACAATAACACACACAACGACAGATACGATTTTTAATACAATAGCCGAAAAGAAGACGAAGAAGAAAGTGTTTTTCAAAATAGCTAATCATCGCCAGCCACTACCACAACAACAACACAACCACCTCAGTGCTCATTACAAATATTTTACAAGAAAATACCTTTTACTAAAATGCAACACAACAACAATAATAATGATAATAGCCTGGTTGTCGGCAGTAGTTGGTGCGGCGCCGCCACATGCTGCTAGTAGTGATAACAAAGTCAATCGTGCCGCTTGGCCTCCTCTGAAGCATCATGACATTTGGAACGGTGATCTACAGGATTTAGGGGCAACCGACATCAAACATCAAGGTGCTGATGATTACAGAATTTATGACGATGCCGATCCAACACATCAGGCTAACTATATGCATGCGCTAACCAATGACTCAACGCAAACTCCAAGGGATTTTAATTGGAATCTGTATTCGTTTATGAATTTCTCATCGACGTCCTCCATCATCGACAGCTTGAAAGATGTTAGTTTTCAACGACATAAAAGAGGTGAGAGAGAGAGTGTTTAATGAGAAAATGTTGTATTTTTTGTGGATTCTTATAGACTTAAATAGATACGATTTTTATACATTATAATTTGTATAATACTCTGGAGTTCATGGTATAATGGATTTTTTTCGTTGCATAACCTAAAAGTATGCAATAAACAGCACTACTATTCCTAATGAGTTAACTACGCAATTAACGACAATTATCGATAACAGCAGTATTTTAATTGGTTATAATTTCGTAATTAACAAAATTTCTGAACTGAAATAAAGTGGTCGCTAAGCCCCTTCGGACGGGAATAGCGTTGCTAACTTTTAATTCAAGATTTACACGAATATTGTGCGTTTTAAAGCTATCGGTTTTTGCCGTTACAGACGATTATCACTTCCAAATGCAAATTGTTCATTTAAAAAGGAACTAAAATTTAAAAACATTGTAGCTGTCGGTAGGTCTTAACGACTAACATACCGACAAATTTCTTTAATTGCTGAAAATTTGGTCGCTAACTTTAGTTTGAGAATCAAAAAGTGTCAATTTAATAAGATGCTAAATAGACAAATTCAGAACTTGGCTTTTTCTTGCCTTAAGAGGAAGTAAACTGAATACTGTTTCACAAAATTTCATAATTCACGATAATTTTGTTAAAAAAAAAATGTTCAGAATTGAATTGGAAATTGAAAAATATGACCAGGACCCTTGCAATATCTAAAGTTAGGTGGTGTCATTATATAAGGGCTTGCCAAGAGGTGGACCTATTATGTAAATAGTGTTTCAACATAAAAAGAATTCAAAATTCCATAATTTTGTAAATTTAAAGGAAAAATATGACCAAAACTTAGAAAATGCTTGGAATCGGATTTATCCGTATAAGGGGACTATACCAAAAAATGCGGCGGTATGACTGATTGTTGTACCAACAATTCTAAATTTAATCCAAAGATCTGCATAAACTCTATTCTAAATAGATATACCTTAAACTATAGGGATCCTATTGTATATGGTGAAAACTATATAATGGTTAAAAAACATTTGCCCTAAGAACCTTCTACCTACTATCAAGTCCTCAACCCAAACTGGTTACTGTGCAGTGAAATTATCAAAGAGTTTTCAGCGAATTTGGAAAAAATACAAGGCTTTTATTAACAAAAATGTATGCTATTTTTTTATGGAATGAAATTTGATGTAAAATAAGTTTTATTTGATGTAGTATAGAGGAAGAGTTTTTACTCGGATTGGATACGTCTCAAATTTAAATTTCTTCTTTTGACACCTTCTACCTAAATCGAAATTTTATGTTACTTTCAGGCGTCAACTCGTAAAAAGTCCGAGAGTACCATAGCTCAGGTTTTTTTTACGATATCATGAAGGAAAAATCTGTTGTCGCACATCAATTTTTAAAATCTTGCAAGTTCTGCAAACAGAGCACAGAATTATGGTACAATTAATACTGAGTAAATTCTAACTACCTTCTACATCCGTTGTAAAGTACGTGCGTATTGTTTTAGAAACAATTAGTTTATTGTCTGATTCAGAAAAAAAGACAAAACTGAAAACAAAAATATAGTTCATTTTATGTCCATCGTAATATAGTAAAGTTAGAAGTTCGATAACGTAATTTATTCAATTTTTAGTGATTCATTTATTCCCCGTACCCGTGGATGGAGAGTGCTTATCGAACGACGGTCGCCGCACTGGCACCTGCTTCAATGCCTATGAGTGTCGCAACAAAGGTGGACAGGCAAAAGGTGAATGCGCCCATGGTTTCGGAGTTTGTTGTATTTGTAAGTAGCCGAGGTTAGGGAAATTTAATAGGAAATTTATTGAACTTACTGCTTTCTTTTAGATATTGCCAATTGCAATGAAACGATCAGCAACAACATTACCTACCTTGTGTCGCCCAGTTTTCCCAGCTTCATGCCCAACAACATCACCAACTGCAAATTAAAAATAAAACTAATGAACGATGACATCAGTCAGTTGCGTTTTGACTTCTATCATTTCATACTGGGCCAGCCCAATCGCCGAACTGGGGTATGTGATGGAGATGTTTTTAATATAACGGGTGGTCCGGGCGGTACATTTTCCTTGTGCGGTCAAAATAGTGGACAGCATGGTGTGTATAATGAAGATAAAGAAATTATTTTATAATGGACTGTATAATTTTCATAGTTTACTACGACGTTGGTGGGCGAATGGTTCCGCGACAAACCCTGTACGGTTCCTTAAGACCATTGCGCTATGAAGATTTATATCCGGGGCGTAATTTAACCGGAGATACTAGCATGGAGATTGAAGTTAATTTGCACTTTGCCCCCAGATTTCTGCCAACTCGTCTGTGGGAAATCCGCATAGCCCAAATTCCATTTAGTCAACGAGCCCCAGCTGGATGTTTGCAGTATTTTAATGGAGCCGAGGGAGTTTTCCAGGTAATTAAGTGAACTATGCTCATTGAAATCTTTCATTGAAGGGTAGTTTAATAAACACCGGTAGTGGGATTCTATAACTCTTTTTTTTATGGTTACCGACAAAAATCGATAAGTTTGAAACCCAAAATATTGATATAAAAACGAAGTTAAAGTTGACAACATTGGTATCTATCGGTAGGTCTTAGCGACTTTTGTTAATTGCCGAAATTACAAGCATTTTAATTTTTCCATTACGGGTTTAAATTTCTTCGAAAATGCTAAAAATTACATTGACCTAAGTAAATAAAATAAAACCGCTAGCGGTTCTATTTTTCAACTTTTTTACTTAAAATTAAAAAATACTTTCGTAAACGATTTTATGTGTAATTTTCAATTTTCCAGACTTTCAATTTCGCTGATAATGGTCGCCATCTAGCCAATCAAAACTATCGAATTTGCATGAGACAAGAGGTTGACATGTGTTCCATCGTGTACCAACCATGCGACGATCAATCATTTCGTATCGGACCTAGAACGCCAATGAGGTTTTCTAGTCCAACACAAAATGGTGGTGGAGGAGGGGCTGGAGCTACCCCAGCAGCAACAATGCCATCTAGTATTATGAATATGCCATCGATGGGGAGTATGCCTTTAATGGATCAAATGCAAATGCAGGTGTTATCGGACGATGTTATGGATATAATGAACATGATGACCACAGCCACAACATCGGCAACCGCCTCTCCAAGCAGTACGACTTCTGTTGCCACAATGTCGACTGCTACATCTAGCGAAGCTGTTATGTCTTCTTCAACTGTTGCCACGACAACGCCAACAGCCACAACGACATCAGTCCCTACTACAACATCAACTGCAACTTCAACAACAACAACAACATCTCCTTCTAACGATGACCCGGATGAAAGCTCAGAAGTACCTTCATCATCAACAATGGCGACCACTGCAGCTACGATGGCAACTTCCTCTGCAACATCAGATACGACAGCATCAACTATGTCGTCGCCAAGTGCAGATGATCCCGAAGAAAGTTCAGAGGCCACGTCGTTGTCAACTACTACTACCAGACCCACAACCACCCCATCGACCACTTCTACAACCGCAGCTCTCAGTGATGATGTTCAAGGTTCCGGCGATGGACAGGATGGTGATACCAGATTTCGACCGACACCATCGAATGTCTCTAAGCGACCGCGCCCAACAAGTGGGGGGTTCGACTTATTGGGATTTTTACGAACGGCTTTTGAAATGAGATTTCGCAGTGCAAGACAGGCCAAGTTTTTAACAGAAAGACAAAAACGGCAATTTTATAGCAGTTGTCGTGATCGCATAACAATGCCATGTATTGTGGAAGATTTCATTGGAACTGGTCTTGGACCATTGCCCGGTTGTGAACCCGTGCACTGTGGCATGCAGTTCTGCTCAAATGGGATGTGGCCATGTCGCATTGAATCGACCGTAACACCCTTTTATGTGGGAATACATTTCGGTGATGGTAGAGGTAAAGGCAGTCCAGAAGATAATATCGGTGCCTGCCTTCGTTATCAACAAATTCAGTGCATGTGATTAAATTTAATAATAGAATAGAATTGTAGAAAAGGTCTAATGCGAACTGATTAAAAATTGGAGCAAATCCTATCATTGTGTATTGAATTACCTTATAAATATTTCAAGACCTATCCTTGTAAGAGAAGGCCAAAAATTAAGTTTTTTACAAATTGTTGAAATGAAAAGTAAAACAGAAATAATAAAAATTAAAATGATAACGATTAAAAATTACAAAGGCCATTTGTTTCTATTTTTATAACGCGAAAATAAAAGCGAAAAAATTTTTTAATTTAAATAACTGTTTGCCTGTTTTTACGGGACAAATAACGACTTGGATTGAGTTTAAAATCAGCTGTCGGCAAATTTTTTAAATTTGTGCTGATGGTAGAGGTCTTTTTCATGGTACAATAAAAAGGTATTGCGAAAGTATCAGCTGATATTTTTTCTCTTTTTTTGGTGTCATAAAAAAAAATAATGAATGTAAATTTAATCAAGAATAACCTGAAAACGTAAAAAGTTAGTTGGCATCAAAATTGATACTTTTTTGACTCCTAACCAATGGAATTTGTTATTTAAAGAGGGGCCTAAAGTTTTTTTGTTGGGATAGTCCCGGAACTCATGAAGAACTTGAATTGTGGCACCATCGAGCCTTTATACAATTCAAAGTTTAATAAATCGAAAGTGTTTAAAAATCAAATCAAAGAGCCGTTGTAAGAATTACGACGAAAGCCACAAAATTCAATGTGAATCCTGCAGTTTTGAAAATGACGTCGGTAGTGAAGATCCCGGTATTTTTGCACCCTTTACTCAGCGGTAATACTCACTATACATTATGTTGATTATGTAATATACACCGTAGTGGTTTGTTTTAATGTTGGCCATAGACGTGGTATGAATTTAGAAGTCTCTGATCTCTGAGAAACTGTCATAAAACTGAATAAAAAGTAATACCATGGTACAATTAAGTCAAGGTATCCTCATATGAAACAATAATATTCAGCTCTGTATTTTTTCTGTAATTTAACTTGTTAAATTTATATTTCATTGAAAAAAAGACCGATCTCTGATTTGTCAACATCCAATGAATTTATAAATTAAAATTTTGACAATAATATGTTGTCAAATGTATAATTTTGAAAAAAATATTCATATTTGCTCTGTTTAGAACATGCAAGAATCTACAATTTTTCGCAAAGGAAAATTTTGGAACAGAGAAACTGTTAGCACTATGTAAACGGGTGCTTCTTTGATACTAGCCCCTTCGTTCATTCAGTGAACACATACATTTGACACTCGTAATTTTTATTCCTTCTCCACTTTCTATACATTCAGCTTTCTGTGTGTTGTCTCCATGGTAGAAGAATAAAGGTAGTCGCATCGATCCAGCTGCTTGGACAATGAACTGTCAAACCAATTTTGGAATTAAAATTTTTCAAAGAAAAATTATTGAAATTTTTAAAAACTTTTGAAACATGCATATCATAATAACCCTTCGATTGGCTTCGTTTTTAAAAAAAAAAAACATATAATAATCTACTTATTTTTTACAAAAAGTTTGAAAAATTTTAGCTTTGATGCACCTACTTTTATTCTTCGACAAAGGTTGGCTCTGTGTGCTGAGGGTATTGAATTATTGTATGCTTGTATAATGCAAGGCATATACGTTACAACAGTTGGAACAACTTTATTCATTTTAAATTATGATGACATCGGAACTAAATGTGTCCTTTATAATTGGCAATTGCGTGATTTTATTTCTATAATTTTAATGTGCGTACTATGGTTTATCCGTGTGGTTTTTGCGAACGTTGCTATCGACTGGTACGAGCAGAAAATCAGAATTTTTTAAATTTTGTACATCCTAGACACATCTTCGTACAACTAGCCCACAAACAATACTGATTTGAATACAACCTCTCCCAAGTTTTACGGTAAAAGAATACAGGTAGATACATCAATACTTGCGAACATTGATACATATGTCAATAAATTTTTAAGGTTTATTTCAAAACTAAGTATATTTGTATATGTATTTCCATACGATGTCAAACGGAAGCTATAATATTCCTTTTTAAAACAATTTTTACAAAGTTGAATATTTTTTCATTTAAAACTTTCAATTTCAAAACTTTGCCAGTTTATTGTACCAGCAGTTGTACCTTATGTGGCTTGCATAACGTGTATGCCTTGCATTAGCTTGTTAATGAGACACTGAAAACACAGCGCGCCGCCGTCATTTATTTGACACATGAAACACCGCCGCCGTCGAGGAAATCGTTCTGCTTCGTTGTCTGATTCCGGCGTATCGTAAATGGTTTCCGATTGTTTTTTGTCCAATAAAAAAATGTACAGTTTGTAAATAATTATATTGTTGTTCAAAAAACTATATCAAGTTAAAGAAAACATTGGAAAACACAAAGTTCGCTGAAAGCCTATTGTTAAAAGTGTCGGGAAAGACGACGCTGCAATTGACAGTTTGAGGTTATGCTGAAAAAAGCTATATCAGACGGTGAAAAGTGAGAGAGAAAAGAAGACAACTGAGAACTGTCAACATCGGTAGCTTGGGAGAAACGTATTAAAATGAATTTACCACCAGCAGCTGGTGCTCCTCCTGCTTTGGGCGGTATGGCATTTCCACCTGTAGTTCCTCAGTTCAATATACCTCCACCTGGATTTGGAGCTCCTCCACCAGCTGAATTGGCTGCTGCATTTGGTTCAGCCCCGCCAAATACTGAATGGACAGAACACAAGGCTCCCGATGGCAGACCCTATTACTACAACAACATTACCAAGCAAAGTTCCTGGGAGAAGCCAGAGGTTTTAATGACACCGGCAGAACGCTTGAAGCATCAGTGTCCATGGAAGGAGTATCGCTCGGATGCAGGGAAAGTCTACTATCACAATGTAACCACCAAAGAATCTAGATGGGATCCGCCGCCAGAATTTTTAGATATGCAGGCAAAAGTAAAAGCTGAAGAGTAAGATTTTTCGTGTATTTTTTGTTGGCATGAACGAATTTGTTATGTACGTATTTATTTCAGAGCTGCTGCAGCAGCAAAAGCGGTTGCTGCTATGACTTCTTCCAGCTTGGCCGGAATTGTCCCACCCGCAGCACTAGCTAGTATATTGCCTGCCACCCTACCAACCGTAGCAAAGATTCATACACCCGATATTCATTCGCCCTTAACCCCAGGTAGTAACGAGAATTCCTCGTCTGCTTTGGACCAAGCTATGGCGGCAACTTTGGCTGCCATTGAAATTCCAACCTCCAACAAAGAGGATAAAGAAAGTAAAGTTGTTAGAATTTGGTGTTTAATGAAGATGACTTTTCCTAACGTATGACTTTATTTCTACTTCCAGATAAGAAAGAATCATCAGATGATAACAAAATTGTGTTTAAAGACAAGAAAGAAGCCATTGAAGCATTTAAGGAGCTCTTAAAAGAGAAGAATGTTCCCTCCAACGCCAACTGGGATCAATGTGTCAAAATTCTTTCAAAGGATCCCCGCTATAACTCTTTTAAAAATCTAAATGAAAAGAAACAGACATTCAATGCCTACAAAACTCAAAAACTAAAAGATGAGAAAGAGGAGGCAAGACTTAAAGCTAAGAAGGCCAAAGAGGATTTGGAAAAGTTTCTCATGACCAGTGATAAAATGAACTCAACATTAAGATACTATAAGTGTGAAGAGTTGTTCGCCAGCAATAGAATTTGGACATCAGTACCAGAGCCAGATCGAAGGGATATTTATGAGGATTGCATTTTTAATTTGGCAAAACGTGAAAAGGAGGAGGCTCGGATGATGAAAAAGAGAAACATGAAAGTGCTGGGAGAGCTTCTGGAATCTATGACCTCTATAACATATTCAACCACGTGGGCTGAAGCCCAAGTAATGCTTCTGGAGAACTCTGCTTTTAAGAATGACGTAAATCTACTAGGTATGGACAAAGAGGATGCTCTCATAGTTTTTGAGGAACACATACGCACACTTGAACGTGAAGAGGATGAAGACAAAGAAAGGGAAAAGAAGAGACAAAAGAGGCAGCAACGCAAGAACAGAGACAACTTCTTAACACTCCTAGATTCCCTACATGAGGAAGGGAAGCTAACTTCAATGTCGTTATGGGTGGAACTTTACCCAATAATTTCCGCTGACATTCGATTTTCTGCAATGTTAGGTCAACCAGGCTCAACGCCATTAGATCTATTTAAATTTTATGTAGAAGACTTGAAAGCAAGGTATCACGATGAAAAGAAAATCATCAAGGAAATACTTAAAGAGAAACAGTTCGTTGTTAAGGCCAATACTACATTCGAGGACTTTGCTACTGTTGTGTGTGAAGATAAAAGGTCGGCTACTTTAGACGCGGGCAATGTTAAACTAACATACAACTCATTGCTTGAAAAGGCCGAGGCATTGGAAAAGGAACGTTTGAAAGAAGAAACCAAGCGTCTGCGAAAATTGGAGAATGAAATCAAGGCTGCATGGTTGGAAGCGAACGTATCGCCACATGAACCATTCGATTCTGCGCAAAAGCTTGTGGAGCATTTAGAAGCCTATGCTATTTATGAAAAAGAGCTTGGAGTACGAAAGATTTGGGACGACTTTGTTAGAGAAAGTGAAGATGCATGCACACACCATCATTCGCGGTCGAAGAAATCTAAAAAGAATAAGAAACACAAAAAACGTTTAAGATCCAGTTCTAGATCTGTAAGTAAAAATAAAATTATTTCCAGAAAATATAATTAATTTTTTGTTTTCTGTTAAAGGATATTGAAAACGATCCTGCCGAGATTGAGAGACCACGCAAAAGAAAATCACGATCCAGATCGGTAAGCACATGAGTATGGTCTTTAACTACATTTTAATTATATTCTTGTCTTTATAGATATCAGTTAGTTCGAGTGTGAGCCTTGATAGCATAGACAGGGTTTCCAAGAAGAAGAAAAAGAAGAAGAACAAGAAATCTTCCAGAGACGTAAGTGCAAAAAATGTTAACTTTGGTTATTATTTGTTTTTCAATTAATTTTCATTACAGTCATCATGTGAATCAGAACGCGCTAACTCCATAAACGGTTCTCCGACCACATTGGCCATTGAAGAACTCTTGGCATCGCAGCCCAAGAAAAAGAAGAAAGAAAAAAAGAATAAAAAAGACAAGGAACGCAAACATCACCACGACAAACAACGGTCGGTGACACCTCTTAGTCCCGCTGCCAGCAACCGGTCTCATAGTTCGCGAAATGACGAACAGGCGCTTAGTGAAACAGAGTTGGAGTCGAAACGTGCCGCTCTGTTAGCCCAATTGAACGAACAAATGGAAGAATGATTAGGATTGATCGTCTAGTAAATATTTAAATAAGTACGCTATAATGAGGATACAGAACAATGCCGCATCAGATGTATGTTTCACATCAATATCATTTTCGAACATTGAATATTAGTTTGCTTTCCAAACATTTCTAGTTTCGTACTGTAATCACGTAATTTATGGTTCTTTTTACCGAATATTAAATGCGGTAAGTTTGGACATGATTATTTTAGATTATTTTTTATAAAATCAAGAATTAAACTTTTTTTAAGTATATGACATCGGTATTGAGTCACAGCGTTATGAACTAAGTATTCATAAACCTTTAAATAAATCTAAATATAATCAAAAAACTAAATACATTAATTAGTTATTGGTGTTCTATTTTTTTTTTAGTTGTTGGGAACATTGATCTTTATTTGGAAACAATGACTGTGTTCCACAGTTTCATCGCTTGTAAGGTTATTGGGATGCATTATCCGTTTCATTTTTGTATATCCATTGTTTGGGAATGGATAGAATATATTTCCACATTCTCTTTATTAATATTTAAGACTAATTGAACCGAATAACTAATGTACCTTCGTATGGATTTAAAACTTGAATTCTTTATACTTCTTGGTTGTCTTGGCTGGGTCGGCTTGTTGACGTTTGCGTTTGAATTTCTGCTGAGCAACATGTTCAGCCAACATATCTGACAAATCTTCTTTCTGTAAATGATTTTGTTGTTCACGCATTTGCTGTTCGTAGCGTTGGGCCATTGCGTCATTATCCATATCCAACTCCGAGGGATCCAAGGCCAATTCAACGGTTCCTTCTCTACCCGATGCAACAGTAGCTCTCGCTGCGGCCTGTTTTACCCCACCGACATCGTACACATGTGTCGAACCCATCATCGATGCGCCAATGCGGTCAGTACGTTTTTCAGGCAAAACATGATACAAAACTGGTGTCTCATTGCTGCATAAAAACGAATATATTTTTTTAAGTAAAATGTGCTGGTGATCCGAAAAATATGAGTACTTACTCTTCCATTTCCTGCTCAATTTTCTTTTTACGCAATTCAATATTTTCGGGCGTTTCCATTCCTGTCGGCACACTGGTGAGTCCTGATGGCGTAATCAGACCCTCAGCCGGAGTTACCAAACCACTTTCGTCGGGTTGATTTGTCATATCTTCACCGTCCTCTTCTTCTTCGTCTGAAGATTCTTCCGATTCTGATTCCAATTCTCCCCATTGATTGCGTTCAATGTCACCCTCATCAATGCCATTCTAGAATAATTGAATTATTTCTGTAAACGAATTTTTGGAAATACCTTGGTTATACTCACATCCAAATCCACAATATTTGTTCCGAAGACATCACCATATAATGGCTTGCCATTTTCGTCAACAGGTGGTTTACCCCACCCACCCGCATGGTAGCCGAATGAACAGCCTTCAGGAATGGGAGCATTCAAACCAGGTATCTTAAGATTGGGATACGAAGGAGGAGGGCCATAACGCTGCTGAGCAATTAACCATGGTGGTGGAATTTTGTGAGCATTCGGCCCAACAGGCATTCCCAGAGCTATACGCAATTCTTCAGATAAGTCTCCTGGTTTCTTTTCTTTGAGGCGTGTTTCGAATTCTTTGCCCTCGTAGTAAAGATCGCCATGAATGGTCATTTTGGGTTTAGTTTGCCACTTGAAGAAGGCATCGTGCAGCTTCTGATAGTCAATGTCAATTTTACCCATTTTTGGACGCACTCGTTCGCGCATCTTGCTCTTTAATGATTTTGCATCTTCCTTCTCTTGAAGCGATTCGCGCATTTCCATAATGCCCGTTTTTTTAATGAATGCCGGCAAATCGAATGGTGGTTTTTCAATACCCCGTTTTCCCTGAAGGTATTTTCGCTTGAAACACCAATGTCTTGGTACTTGCACCGTGTTGCGGTAAGCCTTGAGCTGCACCAACAATTTGGGATCTCTGGCAGTGACGTCATGCATTTCGACCACATCGGGTCGGGAGACCAGCTGCTTAAGTTCAGCTACACTGAGGCGCGTGAGTTTTTTCAATTTTCTCTTTGACAGCTTTTCTTTGTCTTCGATCTTATCTTCATCGGCCTCCTCTTCTTCCTCTTCCGGAACACGACTTAGAGCTTTCTTTTGATTGGAGTTTGCTTCTGCATTCTCTGCTGCTGCTTTCTCCTTTTCTGAAACCTTGGGTTTGTTTTCCAATTTGAAAATTTCAAATACTCTATAAAACTGGCGATACATGGGTGCTAAGTCAGCGATAGTAATTCTTTCAGGGACATACCTAGGAGGAAGGGTAATGTGTTACATTATTAAATATTAGATTGATTGAATGGTCTTACTCAATGGTAACATCTTCGGCGGTGGCTTCGATGTCGCCTTTGCCGTTGCTACTAGATTCAGTCTCCTTCTTTCTGTCACCGTGTTTAGACTTGGATTCCTTAGATTTTACTTCCTTCTCGGAGCTGTCCTCTTTTTGTTTTTCTTGATTATCTTCAGTATCATCTCCAACTGTTTCCGCCTCCCTAGATTTTTCTTCAACGCGTGCCTGCTCCTGTTGTCTTTTAATCTGTTTGTTCAGCTTCTTCCGCCGCTTTTTCTTTTTGTTCTTTTCTACTTTACTTAACTTGCCTGCTTTAGACGGGGCACTGCCATTTACTAGATTCTCTCCTTCATCATCAGAATCTTCTCCAGCATCTGCATAATCATTGCTTATAACGCCCCCAGAATGTCCAGCAGGTTGACCAGTATTATCAACATTGGAAAAATCCTCAGTATTCACATCGAACTCTGCTGCTCTCTGATCCTTTAAGGCTAGCACATCCTCCAATGCCTTGGGCAGTACAACTTCAGGACATTTTGCACCGTCTTTGCCATCCTGATTTGAACTCTCGCCATTCGAAGATCCGTCTCCGGAATCAGAATTACCATTCACCACCTCATTTTGATTGGTAACCGGAGGGGGCTGTTGTGGTTGCTGCTGCTGAGTTGGTGGCGGAACTTGACTGGTGTTTTGTTCTGCAGGAGGTCCTGTATTGTGCCAAGGTTGAGGAGGCGGAATCTGTTGGATATTTGGTAAAAATGTCGGTGCAGGCGGCCTCATGCCAGGCGGCAAAGGCATAAGCGGCGGTGGTGGTGCTCCATTTCCAATAGGCGGTAAATTGGCACGCTTAAAATAGCAGATATGTGAAGGACATGAAGAGCAATATACGGTATTCACGTGACTTACCTCTCCATAGGGATCTGACATATTTGATGAAAATTAAACAAATTTTCCTAGTTATAAATGCAATGTTCCCGAATATCTCTATGTCGTGGTTATTCTTCCTGTAAAAACGCCATCTAAAAGTAAATCACGGTTGTATGAATTAGTAGTAAAATATGCGAAAGATGAGAATAACAAAGAGTCGATGCTTAAGAAAGAGAAAAACTGTGCGTTTTTAATAAGTGTATTCCTTTCTCTTTCACACGTCCATTAAGGCAAGACATAAATTTGATAAAATATAAACAGAAAAGAAGACCTCCGATTAACTCTGTTGTTTACGAATGAGACAAGAGGAAAACACAATCAGCTGGAACCTTTCGCACGTGTCGGCATTCGCTGTCTTTCTGGAGCTTATCCGAGGAAATTGAACTGAAGGTTCCTTAGAGTCCGCTTACCAGAATTGTCAAGGCAGTAGACGTAAGTAGTATTTCTCAAATTATGAATTGATTCAAGATTAAAGGAGTTAGTGGTTGTTGAGAATGGTGCATGTTTCTACAAATATACTGGAGAGAGTAAGAATACAAAAGGAAGATTCGAATCTACCAGAGCTACCCAATGTACCATAGTCCTATTGGACCGCAGGAAACCTTGGCTGTTATGTACCACGGTCTGCCTGCAATCAAACGCCTTTATCTGTCCAAGCTACTATTTAACGTTCTGCATAGAATAACTGTCTGAGTTATGAAAATCTTTCAATGCCCAATAAATGATTCTGCCCTGGAAGATCTTGAAATGATCTTGATCTTGACTTTTGTCTGTTCTTGCAGCTCTTTGGAACATTCGCCATACATTGCTTTCAATAATTCCCCCTCGATGGTTTCTCCTTCAAAACATCACTTGCTTCAAAGAAGTTATTGATAAATTGTACAGGGAAACAGACATAATGTTCAAGTTTGACTTTCAAGTTGAAGCTGATGACACTCCGTTTGCTATTAAAGAAGGATTCAATGACTCAAAAAGGTAAAAAATATAATAGAATATTTATATACGATTTAACACACATACTCTTATTGCAGTCCAGCAGCGTATGTCGACAAGGAGAGCTTTAAGGAGTGGTACGAATCCGAAGAAATAAAACCGTCGAAGGAAATTTTGGAAAACATCGATGTTTGCAAGTTAAACGCTTTGAGCAAAGACTATAAGGGCGTTTCGCTATGTTATATGGTTTCAGGCTTTCTCTTGGAAGATATCAAGAATAATGCTGACGATGTTACAGATTTAAAAAGGCTGAAGAGAATCATTCGGATCTCATACCGGCGGTATATGAAGGCGGAGCCAAAATATGGGAATGCACCGAAGATCTGCTAATGTACTTTGCCGAAAATATCCCCACCCTGGAATGGAATGATAAATATGTATTGGATTTAGGCTGTGGTTCTGGACTTCTCGGCATATATGCATTCAACAATGGATCTAATGTTACTTTTCATGACTATGTATGAACAAGCAAATATTTTGTCACGGTTTTATCAAGTCCTTAACAAATTATTTCTTTCAGAACAAGGATGTACTTGAAAAGATTACAATACCAAATGTGCTTTTAAATACAAGGGAAGAATCTGATGAAAATGAGGAAGACATATATAATTTTGATAAATTAGTAGAGAAAACTCGTTATTTCTCAGGTGATTGGGAAAAATGGTGCAGTTCTCCAAAATGTGATCAATTGTATGATGTTATTGTTACCTCCGAAACTATTTATAATCCAGAGAATCAACAAAAGTTGCTAAATTGCCTACATGCTAAACTAAAAGCGGACGGAAAGATTTATGTGGCAGCTAAGACGTACTATTTTGGAGTAGGAGGAGGACTGCGTCAATTTGAGCAGTTAATTGAAAAGGACAAACGATTTACATTCAAATCGCTATGGTTATCAACGGAAGGTGTAAATAGAGAAATAATAGAATTAAGAAAAATTAATTAATACAAAATAGATGGATACATTGAAGTCTATTAGTACGTTTTTTGGAGTTTTATTTTGCATAAAGTCTTCAAAGAATGGGACAATAATGTGTCAAGTGATCGATTGAAGTCTGTTGGTTTCCGTATACTCAAATGAAATACAACGACCGTTTTTATATTAAATTAAGAATTCACAAACGTTTATTAAAATCAATTATACGAGCTTAAACTAGTACGCCTTGTCAGGTTGGCTTCGTATCTTCAACTTCGTTACATTTTAAAAATTCAGGGTTGTATCCGGGTTGCATGTAATCGTATATTTTCACATGTATGCAACAAAAGGTATCTACTACTACTTTTAACTTGACAACTCGGCCTTTCCTGACCTGAAGTCGTCCTCGGCTTCATCTTCGCTTGAAACATCCAATTCGGGGGAACATTCACACCATTTCTTCAACTTGTCGGAACTGAATACGGAACAGAATTTCCTATTCGTGATGTTTATTCCAGGAATGTCCTCTATCAGGTACCTGTCGTTGCCCAATACTCGTGCTATTATGTATGGACCTTTGTATTTAGGTTCTAACTTCCGGGATTCACCTGTCGCTGGTGGTTCATTCTGTATAAGGATCAAGTCACCTTCCACATACAATTTCGGATTCGAATGCTTGCTGTCAAATCTTTTCTTCCATCGTTCTCGTTCGCTTTTGATGTTTTCTGCGGCCATGATACGTTTTTCGTTGATGGAAATTTCTTCGTTTTGTACATCATCTTGTACAGCTGCTAACAATCGGTTTTGTATTAAGTCGGTGGGCTTGTAATCGAAAATCAACTCATTCGGACTGTAACCTGTTGTCGAATTTTTGGTTGAATTGATTGACCATTGTAAAACGTGAAGTGCCGAGTCCCAATCCTTCGGTTCTTCAGTGGTAGTTCGTAAATAAGACAGGATAAGTTGATTGACCCTCTCAACTTGTCCATTGGCTCTTGGTGTACGAACGGCATTCTTAATGTGTTGAATATTGTTTCGATCGCAATATTCCTCAAACATTTTTGACGTAAAAGCTGTCCCACGGTCCGAAATTATTCTTCGAGGTAAACCAAAGTATCCACTAACCTCATTTAAAACGTTGATGACGGGCAATGTCTTCGTATTCCTTACAGCTTTAATAACCACAAATTTCGTAAAGGAATCGGCGATTGCCACTATATGTGTATGACCATGCTTGCTTCTTATAAACGGTCCCAAGTGATCAATATGTACTTGCCTAAATGGTAGCGGTTCGACATTACTAAAATGTAGAGCTCCTTCGTGTTTACCACTTTTTGCCTTGTTGTAGCAACACTCTACACACGCTGCAATGTATTCCTTCATATATTTCCTCATGCGGGGGAACCAAAACGTTTGTTCGACTCGTGAGAGGCTTTTCTCCAACCCGTAATGGCCAATATCATCATGACAGTATTTAGCTATGCGCCATCGTATAGCCTTCGGTATGACCAATCGTAGTCCATTTTTCGTTTTCCGGTATAGTCGATGTTTTTCCAATAAGTATTCAGATTTTATCTGTTTCTCTTGCTCAGATTTCAATTCATTTCGCAGTACTCTCATAATATTCTTTATGTGGTCGTCGTTTAGCTGCATCGTGAGAATCCAATCATCGCTATCAATATTCATTATGAACCCTGCTGGTTCAATCTCCGTCTGTGGCTGATCCGGTGAACGGCTGAGAGCATCCACGTGAGCCATACGTGACCCTTGTCGGTGTACATACTCACAATCAAATTCAAGTAATTTCATCAGCCATCGTGCTACTCGAGGTTGTAATTCCTTCGTTGTCTTCACATTAGTAATTGCGGCACAATCAGTGACGATTCGGAATGGCTTTCCAAGTAAATATATACGGAAACGCTGCACCGTTTCAACCACAGCTAAAACTTCCAGCTCGTAACTGTGATATTTCGATTCCGTTTCAGAACAGTGGCGGCTAAAATAAAACACTGGTTGCCAATTACCATTACCATCGGACTGTAATAACACTCCTGCTAATCCGAGACTGCTAGCGTCCGTGTGCACCTCGTGATCTGCTTTCATATCGTAGATTGCTAAAACTGGTTCACTACACAAAATTTGGATTAAACTTCTGAATGCGTTTTCATGGTGTACGTCCCAACGAAATTTATTCTCTTCGCTCTTTCGTGTCAACATCGCAAGAGGTTTCGTAATGGCTGCATAATCCTTTACAAATTTTCGGAAGAAGTTAGTTAGGCCAAGGAATCGTCGTACTTCTGTTACATTCGTTGGTACCTTAAAATTTCTAATCGCTTTTACTTTTTCTTCTCCAGGTAAAATTCCGTCACGTGTAACTATGTGTCCCAAATAAGAAATCTTTTCGGCTAGGAACGAACATTTCGCCAATCGTAACGTGAGACCACATTTCTTAAGGATATCCAAAAATCTTTTTATTCGGTCCAGACCTTCATCGACTGTTTTACTGGGAATTATGACGTCATCCAGATACGCTAAAACTTCTCCTGGTTTCATAAAGCTTATAACTCGGTTCATCGTTGCCTGAAAAACTGCAGGTGCGTTTACCAAACCAAATGGCATCCGGTTGAATTCATAATGACCATCTGAAGTCACGAAAGCTGTGAACTTTTTCGATTCTTCCTCTACTTCAATTTGGTGGTAACCCATACGTAAGTCGAGTGTGGTGAAATAACGATTTCCGGCGAGTTGTGCAATCTGTTCATCCAGTACAGGCATAGGATGCGCTATACGTACGGTTATTCGATTCAACTGTCTATAATCTATACATAAACGGTGTTCACCATTTCTCTTCTCGACCAAAACAATTCCCGATGCATACGGAGAATTCGATTTCCTTATGATTTCGTTATCCAGTAAGTCTTTCACAATATTTGCCACAATAGGACGTTTGGCAAATGCTAGTCGATATGGCTTGCATCGTATTGGTTCTGGAGTAGTAACTTCGATTTCCATCTTCACTAAGTTACACTTACCCAATTCGCTTGACTTTTCTGAAAAACATTGTCGGTTTTCTTGAATGTTCAACTGCAACTTCTTATGCTCTTCAGATGTTAAGCCTTCGTTGATACTAATCGCATTTACGTTTTGCATCCAACACTCATCTCCTTCAATAATGGTGCGTCGACCTTTTTGGCATAAAACATCTCGACCTAAAAGAACATCATTCGGGATCATAGAATTTTCCACAACATAAAGGTTCACGTCGTAACTCGTCTCATCAATGTCAATTGGCACTTTAACCACCTTTGTGCACTCGTATTTGCCACCAGCAAAGCCATTTAAAACCATACTGCAATTTTCCGTTTCGCCAATTATCATTGCAAAACTTCGTCTGATCAGACTCCGATCACTTCCCGAATCAATAAATGCCTCAAACTCCTTGTCCTTTACTTTGACACGTTTACATAGTATTTCGTTGGACTTTACGCTGTCCCTTATATTGTTGACATTTGTGTTCAGGGTTTTTGTTGGACATTCACTTGCACCGTGTGAAGTCCGTTTGCATATCGTACATCTATTCTTCTTCTGTGGATCTGGGCAGTCTACGGCTTTGTGACCAGTATTACCACAATTAAAACATTTGAATTTATTCACTCTTTCATCGCTTTTCCTTTCTGGGGCAGTTCTATTTTCATTGCTACGTTTCGTCTTATTCGATATCGGGTTCAGCACTCTTCTTACCTCGTTATAACTACAGTATGCGTTGATGTCACTCAAAAGTTGATTACAGGTAATATACTCGTTAGATATTTTCTGCTTCAATCCTTGATCATTAATTCCGTTGACTATATGCCGTGCTATGGATGATTCATTTATATTGCCCCGTTTTCCAATAGCATACATTCTGTAATAATATTCCTGCGGCGTTTCGTCGAACTGCCGTTTTGTCTGTGCCATTCTAATGTGTACATCGGCTGCATTTACATTTTGAGGGAAATCTAAAAGAAATTTGTTAACAAACTGAGGCCAAGACAGAAATACCTCTTGCAGTGAGTCAACCCAATACTTGGCTGGGCCAGCCATTTTCTGTTGCACTGCAAATATAACTGATGCGTCGTCCCAGTTATAAGCTGTCTTCAATAATTCCACACGTCGCACGAATTGTGAAGGATTAATCGATTCTTCAGATGACGGATTAAACTCTGGCAAAAGTTGAATTATTTCCTTAACGTTCCCAAAGGGGTTGTGCTGAACATAACGTTGTGAAGGCTGCATAACTATTTCTGACTGCGGCGGCGCTGAATAGACACTTGTTGCAAATATCGGCGGTTGTAGATATGCGTTGTAGGGCTGCGTTGATTGAACATATCCATTGTTCGGCTGCGTGAACACTCCTGTCGGTGTTGCTGTTGTAAAATTCGAATGTGTCGTTATATGTGTTGGTACGTTGTAGCATGACGTCGCTACATTTTGCGTTGTATTTCGTGGAAGTTGAGCATGTCCGTGCAATGAAGGTGTAAACGTTGGTAAACCAGCAGAAGCACACGTGTGGACCGTTGGAATTGTTGACGTAGTCTGAAATGCACCAAAAGAAGTATTCGTTTGAACATACGATGGAATCGAACGTGATTCCGGTAATATTGTCACAACGTTTGCCACGTTTGGCAAGCTAGGCCGTGTGCCTTGCAGGGACATATTACCATCCGGTGTCGAAAACGTGTTCAAAGGGGATGATGCGTTGTTCGGCTCAAATTCTGATTGTCCACGTTGCTCCATAGATGAACGCAATTCAGTTACCATATCTTCCAAATGCGAAATTCGCTCCTGCATATCATGAGGAGATGCGAATCCGTGCAGCTCGCTTTCGTTGTTGACTTCAAGTCGTTCGATCAATTGCTTTTTGTTACCACTTTGAGAAACACCAATTTCTCTGCATTTCGCTTGCAACTGCTTAACCGTGCATTTGTGCAAATTCTCCATATTTTTTGTTGGTAGACGCTTCTTCCAATAAGACTTGTCGTATCCCACTTCTGAGAAAAATGTCAAGTGATCGATTGAAGTCTGT